AGGTTAAAACTGCAGTCCATCCTGGATAAGAAAGCTTTTTAGAAGACAAGACTAGATGAAATTCCATAGATCGTGAGGCTTTCTCATGTCATTGGAGGAAGACTAAGCTGTCAATAATTAAGTAACCTTAAGTGACCTAGGATGACTAGGAAAATACAAGTTTGTCTCAACGACTATCCCACCTTGTGATCTGGTAAAAGCATGGCTTGATTCGAAAGGCACATCTGCCTTGTGGCTCACTGGCACTTGCAGCTATGTTGCGGAGTTGCAAAGTGTCATAATGATGCGTATAATCTGGTTCGGAATCACTGGATGGCAAAACTTTGCCGAGGGCTAGGCTAAGTGAAAGTCAACAGCATCATCAAGCATAGTCATTTCACTGGGGAAAAGTTTAATTTCAGTCCTTAAATCCATTTAAGTGGTTCGTACATCAGATCGATTGATGTTAAAAACACTGATAACACGCAAAGAAATGAAATCTTTAGCTTTTCGACTCCGTTACATGATCGTAAATTATCAAAGATTAGAGATGCCATTAAATCAATTGGAGGACTCAGCTATTGACATAGATACATCCTCTTTATTTTAATGCCATTATTTTGCAAAGAAAGTTCAATATCAGGAACTAATTAAACCAAAACAGCTTAATAATTGCCAATATGCGATAATTCGAAATATCAGCATCGAAGGCTAGACTACAGTTTACCTCACTCATAATAAGTTCGATCGTTTTTGCTTCAAATTGTTTTAATCGGTCATCGGAGCACGGACCATCACCAGCCTTGGAGGATGAAGTGTCCGAGGCTAATTCCGATGCCTCCGCCGTTGGCGTTGATTCCGAGCCAGAGACCAGAGGAGAGACAAATGCGCTACGGATACCTCGTCTATTGAAAAAGATAAACAATCTTAAATTAAAACATCAAAAAACTGTTTGGCAAAGTGAATGTAGAGCACCTCAAAATAGTCTTGACTTCGCAAAATATTCGAAATATTCGGGGATTAAAATTAATGTGATACTTCAGGTTAAATTGTCAAAACCTGTCCATGCAATTAAGGAAATAAGTCTTGCCCTGATAAAGAAAAAATGCCCTTTATAAAATAAATGCAAAAACTCTAACAAATTGGTGAAAATGACCACAAAACTTGTAATAATGGCAAACATTGTGAAAAAGAAGTCAGCAGATGCTTCTGGTAAAATTTGAATAATGCCCTTGAACTCAATTATCCAAAAGCCGGTTAACACGGAAATACTCACAGAATTATGGCCAGGCTCAGAGGAAATTACAATTTCCTCCGTCGATCGATGTATAAGCATCTAGGTGTAAAAGTTGGCCTTTTATGTGACTTGACAAAAAGCAGTTTAAATGAATGATGAAATTTATCGCAAAGGAAAGATGGAGTAATGCTCAAAACTGGTTGAGTAAAAAACATCGGTAATAACTTTAAATATTTACCAAAAAACTTGAAAATCAAAGCATTAATACATAAAAACAGTACGCATTATAGGGCTTCTCAGAAGCTAAAACATTCTAGTGTTTAAGTCTCTGATGCTCTTGGAGCCGACATGTTAGCGCAGCAAAGGAGATTTGCTTTGTGCACCAGAATTATCACGTTTAAGTATAAAGAGTGATTGATACTCAAAGGTCGAAAGAGCTAGCATAGACAAGTATGTAAACTTCATAGTACACCATGACTAGAAAAGAGTGAAGTCAAATGAGTAAAAAATTCAATCACGACAAAGCAGCAAGGCAACTGTAGTTTCCGCAATTAACCTAGATTCCCAAATTCCGGAAACACACTCGGTCACACAAAACTGCCCAAATCCACATAAAGTTTTGGTATCAGCTACATTTGAAGTATAAATTGAAGGCTTGGTTCCTGTGCTCAAAAGCATATGTAAAACGGCTAGTGCATGATAGGACAAAGCAACTCATGGAAATAGGTCCCCAGCCAAATTGGACAGGCCTGCGCTAATCAGGAATAGAGATAACTGCCTTTTCACTTAGATGGCAATTAAGGTTTACACAATACACAAGACACATCTACGAGTTTAGAAGAGGTATATCTGTTACTTGACGATTCTGGGCATGATGGTGCAGTGTGAACTAATTAAATTTGTTTTCCATTATTTTCAGAGTATGATTCTTTTATCAGCCTCTCTTGCTTTTATGCAAAAATGTGGCGATGGCAACATGCACGAAGGCCGTTTTTTGATGACGCTAAGCCTAGGAAATTCGTCGTATACAATCACATATTGCTATTTTGTTTCAAATAAATTATAAATTATTAAGTGAATACCTGCCGCCGAGAGAGCGCTTCATAGGGGCGGATGGAGTTGGAGAGCCAGGTGGGTTACAAGTTTTAGTATTTAGCTGAAAACAGTGACAAAAAAAAAGCGTTTAATAAGCGCTCAAACCAGTTTGAATTAAAAGTCAAAAGTCAAGCCTTAGCTTCAATTCAGCAATGGCAGTTCAACCGTCAGTGTTTAAAAGAAATAATATAGCGCCAAGCTGAAAAGGGATGATTCAATCATCTGTAAATCGTTAGTCTCACTTCCAGTTCTGATAATGTCCGCCATACGATGAATGAAAACTCAGCCCGCCTGCATCCGAAATAAAGAAAGATGTTGCGTCGGATTCGTCAAATTAAACATCGCATTAAAGGAAGACAGCAAAATAATAACGGGAATCGGCCATTGTCTTACAGTTAGATCAACTAGCGAATCTCCTTATCACGCACTTTCCTACGAGATGAAAGTTTCCACATCAAAAAATTTAACCGTTAGTACATAATAACAATCAAGAAATTTGCCAGTTTTATTATAATTTTATTTAATAAAGGTCTTTTAGCAACAGCGCTAACTTCAAAGGAAGTAATTTAGTTAAATATTTTTTTAAACGACAAAGATCCGTATCAATCTAATTTTGATATTTAAAAGTTTTAGATAAGTTACAAAAACGAAATAGTTGATTAA